CAAAAGTTCCACTAGCTGGATGCTCTAAAACCTTATGGGGTAAGTATTATATTAACCTCAGCGGCCAGCAATGCAAAACAAGCAGCTGAAGCGACAATACTACTGCAACATAAAACTGGTCGCAAGCCAGAGAAGTTTGCCTTTCAAGTCTGGAAGAATGCCTTTCAAGTCTTAACAAATAAGTTTAAACACTCTAATCCAGAGAAATGCATTGTGACTAAATGGAATCCAAGTTCACTTTCACTTCTCTGATCTCAAACAAGTAAATCGGCAATACACTGACTAAATCGAATTCAAGTTCAAATCTAGTTCAAATCCGAAATCAAGGTACGCCGACCACCCGAGATAAATTCAAATCCACAATAGAGATTCGAAGTGCCTCTTGAATTTGACTCAGCTCAAAAGTGAAAATGGGATTCCAACCGACTTTCGAAGTAGTTCAGCTTAGAGAGAGATCATAAATAAGCTAGGATCTGAAGTTACCTTTTGAGAATCGATCGGGAGGGAGGAATTATTGAGCAAAGCAGACAAACTCTTTGCTTGCTTGAAACCGTGATTCCTCTAGAGACTGGAGAAGAGGAAGAGTTGGAGTCAGAATCGGAATCGGAATCGGAATCGGAATCGAGAAGAGGAGGAGGAGAAACCGAATGGAATCGACATGATCGAGGAGATAGAAGAATAAGAGGAGAAGGAGAAATCGGATGGAATCGAATTACCAAAACCTTGTCTCTTACCCGACCACTTGGATGGGATCGAATTCACCTCTGACAAAGGATTTGTCGAGGACTTAACAGAGAACGCCAATATTGGATTGTTTTGTTCAAAATTACTATGACAACCCCTATGTTTTAATAATAGTCAGAACAGTACCTACATTTTTATAAAACACTATGACAACCATATAATTTAGTTGCCGTAAATTTTTTATTGAGTTTGCAACCAAATTATTTAGTTATCTAAGATTTTCAAATTTCTTGCTTAAATTCATAACCAATAATATTTGGTTGGAGAAAGTAAAAATCAATATGCTACCAAATTATTTGGTTGGAAAAACTAAAAATCATTTTGCTACCAAAAATTTTTGGTTGGAAAAAGTAAAAATCATTTTGCTACCAAATTATTTGGTCTCTTCAAGTTTTATTTGGTTATCAATATTTTGACTTTAATAGACAACCAAATTTTTAATATTTTAGCTACCAAAAGATAATTGGTTGTATATACTACCCTTTTCACAACCAATTTTAGTTTGGTTGTAAAGTTTTTGATTGCAAAAGGTAGTTTTTGTTGTAGTGATCCCTCATTAATTGTAGTCAATTCATTCAAATTAAAATGTCATTCATGTTAATTGGAGCTAATGTTAACACCATAGGTAGCACACTTGCCATTCCCTTGAGAACTATATATAAAATATGCTTTCCCAGGAAGGGAGTATATAAAGTGGTTGCAATAGTTTACTCGTTCGTTCCATTTACACTCATACATGATATTTTATTTATTGAAATGACACAAGTAACAACCGTATAGCTCACACAATAAGTACCCATCCTATTTAATTATCAATGACAGAATATATTCGCTATTTAATTATCAATGACACAAGTAAAAATGGCTACTCAATTTCATGCGTCACAGCTAATTAACAACTTTACTTAAATGAGCATTCCAGAGTAATGTTCATTGCAACGACACAAAAGTGGAAAGAGCAGCCGAATTAGTTTCGTTATGTGAAAGCAATAGATTATCCACCAACTTAGTTACGTTGATAGCTATAATAACTTGGTGTACGTACGTATTTTTGAATACAACCAAGTCCAAGAGATTGGAAAGGAAGCCAAAAAATAAAAAAGAAGCTAAGGTTCCTTAATTCATTGCATTTGCATAGAGACATTAATTAATCATGTCAACTGCAGAGCTCCTGCAACTTTCTGTAATACTACTCTCATCAGCCTTCCTTTGCATCATCGGCTTAATGCGGGCCCTTTTTGGGGACATTCCAATCGCGCTTTGGCAGGCATCCAGTCTCCACGACTTCACCACTCGACTCCTGAAATTGAACAACGGGACTTTGTTGCTCAGCGGCCCCATGTTCCTCAACGGGGACATGATCATCACCAGCGACCCCATGAACGCCCACCACGTCCTCAGCAGAAACTTCACCAACTACGAGAAAGGCCGCGATTTCAAGGCAATCATGGACGCCTATGGTGACGGCATCATCAACTCTGACGGCGAGTCGTGGAAGCTCAAGAGGCAGCTCGTCCACTCCCTGATCAACACCAAGGAGTTCGAAGATCACGTCATGAAAGTCATGGCGGTCAAGTTGGAGCACACCTTGTTCCGCGTCCTCGATGATTGTGCGTCATCATCCGAGGTTGTTGACATCCAGGATGTGTTCAAAAGGTTCATGTTCGACAACATCTGCCTGTTGGTATTGGGGTTCGATCCTGGCTACCTGCGGCCTGCTGGACTACTACTTTCCACTACTACTCCTACATTGTTGTGTGGCAAAGCATTTGATGATCTGAAGGAGGCTGTCGTGTACCGCCACATTGTCCCCAAATTCCTGTGGAGAATCCAAAAGAGGCTTGATGTCGGAGTGGAGAAGAAGGCAAGCAGAAGTCGCCAGATCCTCGATGACTTCATATATGCAAGGATAGAGACGAGGAAGCAAGAGTTGGTGAAACTAGGAGGAATTAACGACGACAACAATGCCAACGATGTGTTGACACGACTTTTGGTAACGGGACAAGACAAGTCAGACAAGTTTGTGAGGGACACTGTGTTCAGCTTGATAGGAGCTGGGAGAGACTTAATCTCCTCTGCCCTAACTTGGTTTCTTTGGCTGGTCGTGACCCACCCGATTGTCGAGGGAAGAATTTTACACGAGATCAAGCTAGTCATGGACGTGCGGCGGGATGATGATGATCAAGATAGATTGTTTTTTACCAAGGTCGAGTTGAACAAACTGGTGTATCTTCATGCCGCGATTTGCGAGACCTTGAGGTTGTACCCACCCGCGCCATTCGAGCATAAATGCGCTGTGGAAGCAGATGTGCTACCTAGTGGCCATGGTGTGCCTAAGGGCACTAAGATATTGTTCTCCATATACTCGATGGGTAGGATGGAAGAGATATGGGGTGAAGATTGTACGGAGTTCAAGCCGGAGAGGTGGATTTCTGAAAAAGGGAACGTAATTCATGTTCCTTCGTACAAACTTATGGCCTTTTTAGCAGGGCCAAGGACTTGTACTGGGAAGGCTATTGCTTTCTTGCAGCTCAAGTCCATGGCCAGTGCCATTCTCTGGAACTACAAGTTCGATATTGTGGAGGGTCATGTCGTGAAGCCGACACCTACTATGATATTGCTAATGAAAGATGGGTTGAAGATGAGGGTTTCCAAAAGGAGTTTAGTTTAATTTGAGTGTTTCTTCTTGTTGTAGTTGATTTACTTGTTTGATGTTGGGGTTTCTGTTTAGGATGGGATCTTGATGAAGACTTTATTTTGGAGAGATTGCATCTACAATAATTATGAAGCAGCATTATAATATGGATTCAGTAGGAAAATGAAGATTTTCTTTCTTTCTTCTTTTCATGATCATCTGCAATATTTATCAATCTCTCACGTTAAAAAATAAACCAAAACTATTTACGATAACATAAAAGATACTGTAATTTACGTGGTTAGTTGATCGTTGAGCCCAACGAAATTCAAGCCCCATAAGGATTCCTTCCTACTATTGTAAGGTGGCTTGTATTATTGTAGCTTGTGCGGAAATAGCTTGTGATATCCCCTAATTGATCCTTTCAAGAAAGCTATATATATCTTAATGTAAGGCCTCTGGCCATGTCAAGCAATGAGAAGGAAAAACAAATTGGAGACTGTTGTCTCTCCTGTGATTTTTTCCAAAATACACTAGTTACTAAAAGGTACCCACACTATCATACTGACGCTAAAATTTGTCAAATTATTAGAGTTTGATGTGGGTGATTGCAATTTCTATCTATCTTTGTGGCGATTCCGTGAAAATTGGAACGATCCAACTTGGATCACGGCCAACCAAAGCGAACCATCTTATAGAGTTTAAGTACTAGAGTCTGTAGCGATCTCGCTAGATCGCTGCAGACTCATGCAATCTAACCCAAAAATCACTGGACACTTCAGCGATTTATACCTAATACACGCTGAAATAATCTGATTTGAATTGAAACTTTTAATTTTGCTGTGAAAGAATCAGAATATATTCATTAATCATTACATTATCTTTGGGGGAAAATTAAAGAGATAGCTAGTCTGAATGATATATTTTCCAAATTCTCCAATTTGGGCTCAAATGTGCATTTCTCTATTTCTTTTACGTTAGTGGAGCAAAAAGGAAACTAGTTGCCAGATTGGTAGGATGTGAAAGCACTAGATCAGCCACCATATTGATAGCTACGCCTTGGGGGAATTTAATGGTGCTGGTAGGATTTTAAGACTGAACATTAATTAGATCACCAACTATCACATATAAGTTTTAATCCGTTCAAAAGTCAGTTCACCGCGCAATAAATTCGTACATGTCGATCATACATGGTGGTTAAACCATTTGTCAATGCATGTTATTGACAAACTTCTATCCAATCCGAATATAAACTCTTCTAATCATTCTAAAACTCGAACATCGTAATAAAAATTGACATATCAACCTAGCAATTTGGTTATTAAATGTAGCAAAGTAGAATCACATCGTAGATTGAATTCCAAGTAACAAATTTTTGTCACAAACTATTATTTCTATTTCGATAATTGTTGATATTAAAATTTAAACAAAGAACGTGATAAATATTTTTTCGTCACATGATTTTGCTTTTTAAATAACCCAAAAATTTGAAGTCAAGAAGCCACCCCCACCTGTCTTCATAAAGCTAACCTCCCCATTTCGTCCTTTCATCACCTCTAAATCATTGGCTTTGACAAAGAACCATTCCTATCAATTACCTACACAAATCATCACCATCATCATGATCATGCTACTCTCAGCCTTTCTTTGCCTTATCATCATCCTAACAATGGCGTGGCCTCTAGTCGGGGAGCTTCCCTACCTGCTTTGGAACATATCCAACCTCCACGACTACGCCACTCAGCGTCTCAAACTACTCGGCGGGACAACGGTCAACAAGTGCCCTATGTTTCTCAACTCATGCGACTACATCGTCACCAGCGATCCCATGAACGCCCGTCACATCCTCATCAGAAACTTCGCCAACTACGAGAAGGGCGAAGATCTCAGGGTCATAATGGAAGGGACTCTAGGAGAAGGCATATTCAATGCCAATGGGGAGTCGTGGAGGTTTCAGAGGCAACTCATTCATTCCTTGATAAACAACAAGGAGTTTGGGGATCTAGTGATGCAAACCCTGAGGGTGAAGATGCAAGGCACCCTGTTCCGTGTGCTCGATGATTATGCATCGGGCAGAAGAAGTGGCAAGATTTTGGACATGCAGGATGTGGCAAAAAATTTGGTGTTCGACAATATTTGCTCCCTCGTGTTTGGATTTGACCCATGTTCCCTCTCCCATGTCGGGTCTGATTCCAAGTCGTTGTCATCATCAGAACTTCATGCCTTGTTGTTGGGGAAAGCATTTGATGAAATCGAAGAGGCAGTTATATACCGACATGTTGTCCCCATGTGGGTGTGGAAATTCCAGAAGAGGCTTCATATTGGAGTAGAGAAGAAGGTGGCTAAATACTGCAAGATTCTGGATGAGTTCTTGTATGCAAGCATCGAGATGAAGAAGCAAGAGTTGTCGACATTGGGAAACAATATCGTTAATTCCACTACCGAGAGGCGCGACTTGTTGTCACATCTTTTGGTGGGGGAAGAGAAGTTCTCAAACAAGTTTCTGAGAGATGTTGCTATCAGCTTGATAGTAGCAGGGAGAGACACTGTGTCCTCTGCTCTAACTTGGTTGTTATGGCTGGTTGCCACCCACCCAGATGTCGAGAAAAGAGTTCTTGAAGAGATCAAACAAGTCATGACAACAACAACAACATCATCAAGTGGCGGGCTTCTGAGCGAGGATGAGCTCAACAAACTAATATTCCTCCATGCAACCATCTGCGAAACATTAAGGTTGTACCCACCATTCCCAATTGAGCATAAATGTGCCGTGGAGGCAGATGTCCTCCCTACAGGCCATTGTGTACGTAAGGGAACAAAGATATTGGTCTCTATATACTCGATGGGTAGGATGGAAGAGATATGGGGGGATAACTGTATGGAATTCAAGCCGGAGAGATGGATTTCGGAACAAGGGAGCATAATCTATGTTCCGTCATACAAGTTCATGGCCTTTATCTCGGGGCCAAGGACTTGTTTGGGCAAGACTATGGCTTTCATGCAACTCAAGTCGATGGCTAGTGCTATTCTGTGGAATTACAAGCTTGATATGGTGGAAGATCACGTCGTGAAACCAACACCATCTATGATATTGTCGATGAAGCATGGGTTGAAGATGAGAGTTTCCAAGAGGGCATCGAATTTGGTGATATAGATAGCTTATTATGTTGCTGTCATTTATTTTTCGATGTTGGCTTGCTATTGTTGTTATGATTGGTATCTCCGGATGTAATGTTTTTCTAGATACTAATTTTGCGTCTGCATTAAGAATTACGTGGCTATGGAAAAACAGACGCATATAAATTTTTTACCGTAGTTAGTATTAGCCACGTAACCTTTTCTTGCTCTCGGTCGTAGTTTGGTCACCAGCTATTGTGACCATATCTATAGCGACCATATTGGTGACGCCAATATTGGCCGCGCACTTGAAAAAATTATTATCAACCATTTTTTCTTCGTAATTATTAGCCCAAAATTGTTATCAATATTTTCACTCATGTTAAAGTTAAGCCGCTTTGTGTTGCATATATTCTTCTTTTTCGTTGACCAATTTTGTCGTCGCAAAGAGACATTTATTCTTGAAACGAAACCAAAGCCATACTTTTGTATGATAATTCGTATAGGAGATGCTTATACAAAATGGTTAAATCGGTATTTTTATACTTTCATTTCCATTAGATAGCCTCTTTGTGTTGCTCATAATATTGTGAGTTTCTGTGACCATTTTCCACGGTCGGGCAAAGAACAATTTAGGAAACAAGTTCGGATTGATGAGGACGATTTAATTACAATGTCTGAATTTTTTTTTTTATAATGGCGATGATAAGATTACGGAAAATAGAAAAGGTTCAAATGTCTAAATTGTTAATTTGACTCAAATGTGCAATTCAGATTTGCTTATGCAAAAGACATATGAAACAGAAAGAATTGCAATATTAGAATGTGAAAGCAATTGATCAGCCATGCACCCAATTAATTGATAGATATGCCTTAAGTGCATTGAGTGAGTAGATCTGTAGATCTCTTTTGGTTCTTGGAGGAGTCGTAAGGTAATTGAAAGGTTGCTAATTAATCAATGCCTAGAAACACACAACTTTACTTAAATGAGAGGTAAAAACTACCGTTGGTTATTGAAATCATCAAATAGATTTAAGTTTGCCACTTAAGGCTTTTTTAATACAACTAAACCACTAAATTCTGACCACATGTATTAATGTATACCATCCATCACTTTCATGAGTATCCATCTAACACTGTCATAAGTCATAACCAATGTAGTAAAAACTAAAAACACGTCTTACAACCAATGTTGTCAGAACCGAACCGGAGCATGACCCGGTAATGCGAACGGCTCGCACTTTAGTGGTCCAACCGACATTAGACCGTTTAAAACCGTTAGAGAACCGGTACCTAATAAACATTATCAGTATAAAAAGTGGACATTTCTTAATCAGAGCTCATCTCTTTCCTTCGAAATTGTGAAATAGAAATAAGGATTCAGTTTGAGAGCCTGACTTTTTTGGTTCATTTCAATTTTCGATCTTCTGCAATTTTTCTAATTAAATTTAGTGGCTGAATGGCAAAAACCGGACGAGCGGGTCGATCGGCTCGAACGGTTAACCGCCTCGGCCGCTCGCCAACCGCTACATAAAACCGGAGCGGCTTTTAAACTGTTCCGAGCCAGTTTTGTGATCGGGTGGTGGTTTTACCGGTCGGGCCGAGCGACTCGGCTCGGCTTTAATAACACTGCTTACAACTTTAGCACCCATCACTCAATTATCACGATACAAGTCAGTAGCCCTCATTCAGATTACTGACTCCCCGTTCTTTCTTTCTTAAAGGTAGTGGGCCTTTTATTTAGATAGTGGGCTTACATATTGGCATGGACTCTAATTTATAATGAGATGAACCATTCTTTTTTTTTTTTTTCATGGGCTGGAGTGAAGTTCAATTTTACCTTGGGTTACACAATTCCAAAAGTATCGGTTATTAGACTTGTTCCTAGGAATGAAGCAAGAGAGACAGAGAAGAGATGGAGGCCTTGATTTTATTTATTGAAAAGCCAATACTATGGTGCCGCTATAAAAATTGCGGCACCGGTGACGCCAAATCCTATTGGTCCACGTGGAGCTTAAGTGGCATGTCTGGGTTGGTTGGATGTGGGCCAACCCGGCTCTCTCAAACTAACGGAGACCCATTCCACGCCCAAGTTTTAATCTGTTTTGACTTTTAATTAATTACGTGAAATTAATTTTATTTTTTGGCAGAATCCGCAAAACAGAAAAACAGTAAACTACCAAACAAAACTTTCCCGATCTTCCTCTCTGGTGGTCTCTCGAAGCAGCCCGGCAACTTGTCCGTCTTCGATCCCATCTCCATAGTCTATATATGTTGCCTTCTACTTTTATTCTCTACAGCAGAGGCGAAGGAGTTCGCCGTCGTCTCGTGCCTCTGTCTCCATCGAACAGTATCGCCGACAAGGTAGCAGAGGACCCGAAGTCAGAGAAGAGAGAGAGTCTCCTTCCCCTCTTCATGATCCGCTTCGTTTTGCGTCGTCCTTGCAACCGTAGAAACTAAGTTATAGGTGGTACAGAGCGGCAACGGATCGACTTGAGGATGTAGGAGAAAGTGTCGGGTCGTTTTAGATTTCCCTGTTGCTTCTGTAGTTTCAAGTCATGGATGCTGCAATGGAAGGGTCGGTTTCATGTTTTCCCTTCCAATATCTGGGTGTAAAGTGCAGCAGGAATTTTGTGCTCTTTAACTCTTCTGCTCTTTCGTCCATTGGTAATAGTTGTTCTGTTTATTGGGGAACGCTACACTTTGCAGTGAGGCTACCTCAAATTGGAATGGTTTTAAGCTAAAAGGAACACTCATTTACATGTGTCTACTGTTGCTTGCATGAAAAAAGCATATGGTTACAGGTAAGCCATCTGGTCATAGTCTCCAGTATGTTTGACATTGCAGCACATGAACCTCAATTCAAAGATCATGCAAGTTTGACATGGCACTTATGAAATTGCATGGAGAGGTTTGGAGGTGACTAGAATGGAATAAACTTGGCATCCTCATCAATGGGAAATAGTGGTGAGGTTGAAATCCAAATTGTAGTTTCCTTTTCTGCAGTGATAGAAAGTTGTTGATTCAATTTCCTACTACTCAAAAAGCTGCACTCTTTGTAGTGCATTTGTCTTTGCGAAAGTGTAAATATGCCAATGCAGGAAAGGCATAATGATTTGGAATATGGAGAAAGCTTTTGAGTTTGTGACCGTGGTTCCAGTTCATTAGATGTTAATGCTGTCAACATGGTGAACTGGGAAGGAAAACTAATGTGAAAGTTCTCTGTCAAAACAATATGAAAATTGATAAGGCCTCGCAGTGGCAAAGTAGGATGGTATAAAGCACTTTGGGCGAAGTATGTGATCCCTTGTCATCGAGTCATTGCTTGGTTGGTGATTATGAATTGATTCAGAACCAGGGTGGAGTTGAAGGAATGGGGGGTGATTGATGATGATACATGTCCTCTTTGTAATATCGAGCCATAGACCAGAACTCATTTGTCTATATCATTGTCTATTCCTGTGTAGTTCTGCAGGCCCTGCTCCCTGATGTGGTTTGGTCGACAAATTGGAGTGATATGCTGTGACAACTTTGCAGGCTTGTGCAGCAAGGGATATTAGACTACAAGCTTATGGGAGGAATATGGTGCTAGTTTGTGGCATTCATTTGGACAGAGAGGTGCTAGAGTGTTTGTTGGCTCAAGTAGGAGTGCTGAAGAGCTAATTGTGCAGTTGAAGAGATTCGATACTACAGCCTAGGCAACGCCGAGTTTGCTCAGGATTTTGCTAACTCGGGATTTTCAAGATATCTGGGTAGAGAGTTGAGTTGAGAGTAACTGAAAGTAATTGTTGTAAAGCAGGCCTAGTCAGTAGATAGAGTGCATAGATAAAAGTGGAAATCCCTGTTAAGGTGTTAGCAGTATGTTCTTTGTCAAAGGGTTGCTAAGGGCCTGATGAACCGATTCTACAGCAGTATGTGTTTCGACGAACTTGGTCATTTTGAAGCCATGTTGGAGCTATAAAAGTTACACAACAATTACCGGAAAAAAGTGTAAATATATGTTATTCTCTAATCTGAAATCAATGCGCGCACATTATTCATCCCTTGTCTCCTGAAGTCTATATGATTATCTTCAAAAGCAAGAACGAGGAACATCAATGATAGCACATTATTGACCCAAAATCTCATGGAACTTAAATTACTCAACCTGCCTTTCTAACACTTCTAAAGGCTTATACCTTGCATAAGCTTCCCCAACACAACCAGTACTCCAGTAGTTGCTTGAGTTTACCAAAAAATCAATCAATATCTAATTGTGACGCAAAGCGAGTCCAACGGCGCTACAATAGTCTGGTCCTTTGCTGGCGATGTTATTCAATGGAGACAGAGGCCGAGGAAGACAAGGGATTCAATGGATAGGTAGACCGGGAGATGGGATCGACGTGTGACAACTCCCCGAGAGTGATTATGTAGAAGCCGCCGGCGAGGGAGATCGGTGAGTTGTGCTTGTGGTTCGTTCCCTGTCCGTCGATCCCTGTTTTCTGTTTTGCGGATTCTGCCAAAAAAATAAAATTAATTTCACGTATAATTAATTAAAAGTCAAAACAGATTAAAACTTGGACGTGGAATGGGTCTCCGTTAGTTTGAGAGCCTGGCCCCGTCGGCCCTCCAACCAACCCAGACATGCCACATAAGCTCCACATGGACCAATAGAATTTAGCGTCACCGGTGCCGCAATTTTTATAGCGGCACTATAGTATTGGCCTTATTGAAAATGACACGAGTAACAAACATGTAACCCACGATCCATACGTAGAGAAAGAGATGGAGGCCTTCATTTTATTTATTGAAAACGACACGAATAACAAACATGTAGCCCACGACCCATACGTAGTTAATAAGTACCCATTTCTATTTATTAAAGACCACAAATATTGCTTGGGATGAAACTAGACAAATCTTTTGGAAACTCTCATCTTCAAGCCATCTTTCATTCACATTACCATGGATCGTGTTGGCTTTACAATGTGACCCTCTATCATATCAAGTATGTAGTTCCATAGAATGTGGCACTAACCATGAACTTGAGATGCATGAAGGACATCGCTTTGCTCAAACAAGTCCTCGGTCCTGTCAAAAATGCCATAAACTTTTGCGATGGAACATGGATTATGTTCCCTTCTTCTGAAATCCATCTCTGGGGCTTGAACTCCATACAATCTTTCCCCCATATCTCTTCCATCCTTCCCATGGAGCATATGGAGAACAACATCCTCATTCCCTTATGAACTATGTGGCCGCATCAGTGGCGCATCGGTGCTCGAATGGCAAGGGTGGGTACAACCTCAAAAGAATAATATATGATAAGCACAATTTTGTATTTTCAAATCTGAGCTTCTGTTTTAAGTTATGAAAAACTTCAGCTTTTTACAAAGCAAAACTTTAGAGGTGTTTGGCTTGCCTTCATATTTTGAAACATAAAACTTCTAAAATTCAGGCCAAACATAGTCGTACTCTTATGCCCTTATTTTTGGGTTTGAGGTAATCGTGGTTCTCCTTTATGAAATTTTTGGACTGATTGCAGGTTTGAGGAGATTCGACTCGCACTGATTGGGTCAAATTAGGTTGGATACCCATGGATTTGGGTACAATTGTCTTTCTCAAACAAAAGAAAAAGCCGAAATGAAAAACACTAAAGGTAAAACTCGCTACCGTCTCAAAATTCGTCAACATAGGTTCAACTCTCTTTGACCTGGTTGAACCTAGTTTCGAGCAAATTCACACCTGACACAACCCGCCAATTACAAAAACAGATAAAACTCGCTCTCGCCGAAAACTTGTAAACACCGGGTTCAAGTCGCTTTGGTCAGGTCGAATTAGGTTGGATACTTATGCATTTGAACTCAATTGTAATTCTCAACCAAAAGGAAAAAAATAAAAAATATATTAAAGTGGATAAAACTCACTCACGACCCTAAACTCTCAACATTGCGTTCAACTCGCTCTGACCGGGTCGACCCAGTTTTGACAAATTCACAATTTACCTAACCTGTTAATTACAAAATCGGATAAAACTCGCTCTCGATATCAAACTCGTCAACAATGGGTCAAAGTTCAATTATCATTCTCTTTTTTTCGTTGAATCAGTTGATTTAATAACGTAGAAATAAAGAACTAATTACAACGAGGTGGACCTCATAGGCTCTGCGCAGGGCAAAACACCACTAGCCAGTTCAACGCTATATCACTGTAAAAAGCTACAAAATACTCCAAAAGACACTATATCAAAGATATCCCAAACATGCCAGATCACAACAAAAGCGGATAAAACTCGCTCACAATACAACACTTGTTAATAACTTAGATTCGTGTTCAATTCTCTTACCAACCAAAAGAAGAAAAAAAAAAAGAAAAATTCATAAATACTAAACTCGATCAGTTTCAAGTCGATCGCTTTGACCGAATTAAATTAGGTTGGATAAAACTCGGATAAAACTCGCTCTCGATATCAAACTCGTCAACAATGGGTCAAAGTTCAATTATCATTCTCTTTTTTCGTTGAATCAGTTGATTTAATAACGTAGAAATAAAGAACTAATTACAACGAGGTGGACCTCATAGGCTCTGCGCAGGGCAAAAACAAAGCACCACTAGCCAGTTCAACGCTATATCACTGTAAAAAGCTACAAAATACTCCAAAAGACACTATATCAAAGATATCCCAAACATGCCAGATCACAACAAAAGCGGATAAAACTCGCTCACAATACAACACTTGTTAATAACTTAGATTCGTGTTCAATTCTCTTACCAACCAAAAGAAGAAAAAAAAAAGAAAAATTCATAAATACTAAACTCGATCAGTTTCAAGTCGATCGCTTTGACCGAATTAAATTAGGTTGGATACCCATGAATTTGGATTCAATTGTGATCATGGTCAACAAAAAGGATAAGGAGAAAGAAAAAAACACTAAAGGGGATGAAACTCAGTCCCGATACAAAACTTGTGGTAACTCACAACCTAGAATTTTATATATTAATTAATGTTTGGGTTCAATTGTGATGATGCTCAACAAAAGGAAAAAGAGAAAGGAAAAAACACTAAAGAGGATGAAACTCGGTCCCGATACAAAACTCGTGGCCGCTCCTTGGTTTCAAGTTAGGATACCCTTGTGTTTGGGTTCAATAGATGTAAACCTAACTAGCAATAGCTAAACACAAAGGTTATAGAATGGAGAGTGGGGAAAAAGAAGCAACTTGAAACTTCCCCACTTGCACTTGGAGGATTGTGAGAGTCACTAATAAATAGTAACTCACAACCTAAGCTTTTATATATTATTATTATTATTATTATTATTATTATTATTTTACTTTATGCTAAAACTTTCCAAAAACATCGGTTATTAGTTATTATACTCTGTTCCTTGGAACGAAGCAAGAGAGGAAGAGACAAATGGGAGCCCACATTTTATTTAATACGACACTAGTAACAACCATGCAGCTCACAACCCATACGTACTCATTTCTATTTAATAAAGACCGTAAATATTGATTAAAAAGAAAATAGACATCTCTCTTTTTTTAGATAAGTGTGATATAGATTTATTTTCATTATTATCTGCTACTAAAGAGATTTGAATCCGAGACATTGAGGTTCAATTGGTAGTACCACTAGATCATGTTCTTGTTCACAAGAAACTATACATTTCTCTTGGAAACTCTCATCTTCAAGCCATCTTTCATTGACAGTACCATGGATGGTGTTGACTTCACGACGTGACCCTCTACCATTTCAAATTTGTAGTTCCAAAGAATTGAACTAACCATGAACTTAAGTAGCATGAAAGACATCGCCTTCCCCAAACAAGTCCTCGGTCCTGTCAGAAAAGTCATGAACTTTTGTGACGGAACATGGATTATGTTTCCCTCATATGAAATCCATCTTTCTGGCTTGAAATCCATGCAATCTTTCTCCCATGTCTCTTCCATCCTCCCCATGGAGTACATGGAGAACAACATCCTCATTCCCTTATGAACTTTGTGGCCGCTAGGGAGCACGTCAGCTTCAGTGGCGCATCGGTGCTCGAATGGCAATGGTGGGTACAACCTCAATGTCTCGTAAATGGCGGCATGAAGGTACACTAACACATTTAAATCATCCTTGCAGATCAGAAACCTCGAAGTCCCTCTAGCAGTCCTAGTCATGACTATCATTACTCGTTCGATCTCCCCAAGAATCTTTCTCTCAACGTCAGGGTGGGTCGCGACCAACCAGAGCAACAAAGACAGAGTGGAAGATAGGGTGTCCCTCCCAGCTGAAATTAGTGTAAACGCGATGTCTCTTAGAAACTTGTCTGTACTCTGATGGTCAGCCAACAACCATTGTGTTAGGATGTCATGATGTTGTCTTTGCTCCTCTTTGTGCAGCATCTCTTGTTTCTTGATCTTGACGGCATTGTACAAGAACTCATCCAACACCTTCGTACTTAGACTTATCTTCTTCTCCCAACCAATCTCAAACCTTTTCTGGAACTCCCAGACACCTTTGGGCACTATATGTCGGTATATGATCCCCTCCTCGATTTCCTCGAATGCTTTCCCACAGGAGAAAGTTTTTGAACCCCCATCCACACACAGGTAACCTGCGATAGATCGAGGATTGATAATTTGAGCGAAGACACAATTACTTGCACTATATATAAACTCGAGTACAAAATCATACTAAATGTTTAACCTGGATCAAACCCTAAAACCCAGAGGCAAATGTTGTCGAACATGAACATCTTTGCCACGTCCTGCATGTCCACCTCAGCTCCGACTCTCGCATCGAGAACTGGGAACAAGGTGCCCTCCATCTTCAGCTTGAGGGTTCTCGTCATGTGGTTCTGTAATTCCTCGTTGTTGAGGATGGAATGGAGCATCTGGCGCTGGAACTTCCACGACTCGCCGTCCACGTTGAAGATGCCGTCTCCCAGGACCTCGAACATGGCTCTGAAATCTTCGTTTTTCCCGTACTTGGCGTAGCTCTTGCTGAAGATGTGGTGGGCGTTGATGGGATCGCAGGTGACGATGAAGTCCATGTCGGCGAACCACGGGCCTTTGAACACGAGCGTGCCGCCGTTTTCTTTGAGGGTTCTAGTGATGTAGCCATGGAGATCGTCGGCCCACACGTTCCAAATGAGGCCGGGAAGCATGCCCAGCACCGGCCATTCGAGCAAGGAGAAGTTCTTGTTCCTAATACTACTAGTTATGGAAGGCCGCCATAGGAGGAATATGAAGGAGAGGAGAATTAGTAGCAAAATGGCCAGTAGTGGAATGGTGGCCATTTGATGATTTTTGGTTTAATTGATTTATGAATAGCCTTTTGCATGGGGTGATATTTATATATAACGATCAACTGTACCAGTACGTATATATAGTACAGTACTACGTACTGTGACGTGCATGTATCAATATTGACAAGTGTGTATCCTCCACGTCCAAAGCCAACCAACAGAAATATTTATGATACAGCTAGCAAAGCTTGAAAGCAATGCATGAGTCTAGAAACCCATCCAAACGATCGAATTTGCGTGGAAGGTTTCTCACAAATTCAAACCTTGTGTTGCAATCATACGTGTACCAACCATTAAGCACACACAGGCATCCAATTAACCAGCCAAATTTATCAAGCTATTGAAGAGGTGAAAGCTATCCATCATGACTCTAGCAACCTAACTCAGTACAAACTTGTGAGTTACGTTGTGATGTTATAATCTTCACCTAGCTACGTACGTGTGGTGTTGCCTTCGCCACGAGACTACCTAACTTAATGGCGTCTCTATTCTCTCTACCTTTCTTCTTCTTCTTCTTCGTCGTCTTCTTTAGCATAAGAGGAAAAAGTACACTGTACACAGAGAGCGGGACCAAGCTCCTTTAGTTAAGGGTGGCTATACGGCCCGGTCCGGTTAAATAGGTCCAAATTGATCCGGTCAAGTCCGGTCTTTTTGAAAATATAACGATCAAAGATTGGTTTGGATACAATCCGGTCTTGATCCTGTCCGATCTTGACCCAGTCCGGTCCCAACTCGGTCTTGATTTTATATTGAGCTTGTGGGGATTTTTTTTATAATGATAATGAACTTTATTAAATTAACAAGCCAAATCCCACAAGGCGTGAGAAATGAGAAGGGAGTTCAAAGGTACAAAGATCCCGCCTCTGCTAGAAGGGAGGGGGAACGAGGGCTAAAATCAGAAAAATCAAACGAAAAGAAAACCGAAACTGCAGAAACAAGGGTGAGGAGTTGGTTAAGTTTTGTACTAAGTGCAAAGGTTTGTGACCGTTTATGCAAATTATCCTTAAGTTTTGGGTGTTGAGCTCTCTTATTCGGTCTCTATCCAGTTTTTTATCCGGTCCCGAAAGAATTTTTTACCTCAAATCTAAACCCAAAAATTGAATTGGATTGTTTACTATCTGGTCCCGATCCGGTCTCGATCAGAATTATACAGTCCGGTTTCGGGTAAAACCAAAAAAACCGGACCAAATAGCCAGCCCTACCTTTAGTCAGCCTATACGAATAAGTTGGTTGCAACTTGCAAGTCTTCGTACTCCATCGAAATGGTCCTCCCTTCTCACTTCAAAGTACTACTTATATATAGTTATTACCAAGCTAATTAAATAAATTGCACATTGGCTCACGGAAGTTATTTATAAATAAATAGCGAGCAAATTTTTCTGTCCTGGCTTTACATTTGGTACATAAATAATGTATAAATGTCTTTATAATGAAACCTAAATTTATATTTTTTAATATTATGATACAAATTTAACTTAATTTGTATTTCCAACTATTAATAGTTTAGAAGAGAGAAGAATGGCTTAAAGGTGAAAGCTAGCATTGCATGGTGACTCTAGGATCTCACTATCAGAGGCAACCGACGAAATGGACGGTGATGATCAATTCACCGGGCCATATATCCATATGAATTATGTAGTTGTATTCTATAGATAGATTCTGTGGTCTATAGTTCTCCAGCTCGCCCAATCCAACAAGTACTCATCACATCATATTTGTTGGTCTCGGTAGGTAGGCTCATTATTAATTGATGGCCTAGCGAGAATTCATGCTACTAGATCCATCAACCACATACCACCACTTAGTCTTAATTATTTGAGTTGTTGAGAAAATGTTTGTATAGAATTTTTGTTATCTCTTACACGGTCTCTCAAACTAAAGGTTACTTTTAATTTTTTAGAGTTTGTACATGTTTAAACATATTATTTTGTGCAGCTAAATCATTAGACTTTTAGTTTGCACAGATTGGTCTTATTATTCCTTGTACTAAACCATTGTTTATGTTACGCACAAATTACTTAGGAGTCATTTGAAGAATATGAGTTTAAATTGATAGATTGTCAACAATCTAAAGATTCTTCCTCTTCAGATTGTTGAAATAGATTTTAAAATTTTTATTGTTTGGTAATTGTGATTGTTAAGCTTCAATGAAAATAAAAATTATAATTTTATATTAAATAACATGTTTATCCTTGATTAAAAAAATTAGAGAGATTCGAGAAACATTGAGAACTTTGGTGATAAATATATTTAATGCGATAAAAAAATAAAACAAAGAGATATAATAAAAAGAAAAAAAATTACGAATCAATAGAGATTTGATACCCGTAGATTTTAAAGATTTGAAATGTCTAAGGAAAAAAATATAGCTTTCTCAATTATAGAGCAATGATAATATGTTCACAAGCAGATACACTAATAGAGATACAAGTCCGTATCATAAGGAGCTTCAGTCCATATTCACATCTCGATCAATACATGAAAAAAAAAAAGAGTCAAATATCAATTTATCCAAATAATATCATCAATGCCGAGTTTTATTTTCTTTATGTTTTTAAGAAGATTAAAATTTTTAACAAGGATTTTATTTTCTTTATGTTTAGTAAGTTAATTTGTTTGACGTTGGATTAAGTATTCAGGAGGATTTTAGTTCCTATATTCACATAGTCTCGTCACTATTGCCATCTTATGATGATAATTAAAGAAGTAAATGAAGCTTTAAGTGATTCATAGCGAACAGAGGTATAAAAAACCATCACATGCTTTGTATTCTATTTTGAAAGCTGAAAAAGTCAATATTTATTTTATTCCACTGAATGAACTATAAAAGGAAGAAATGGATGATTTGCATTAATAATGAGAGGAGACAGAAAACAAATTGTCTTTTGTGACCAACTCTCTAACTTTTGCCGCTGAATTTGCGACTAAATATGTTTATTATCACAAATATGTGAAACAACTTTTAGACATTTACGACCGTTTTCGTCCGATGCAAAGTCGAATTCTGTTCTAGTGATATTATTGGAGAAATTAAAAATTGTATTTACTGGGAAAAGAGAAACAACATACAGGAGAATTTTGGTGATATTGTCCAGAAAGATGTCATATTCGAGTGGTACCAGACAATATATTTATTGAATAAGGCAATAATAATAACTTTAGTTTAAAAGCAATCCAACTCGTACCAATATTTATTAAAACCACAATTATTAAGAAGAAACTACCTAAACATCTCTCTTGGAAACTCTCATCTTCAAACCATTTTCCATTGTCAACATAGTAGAAGGAAATGGCTTGACGATTTGACCCTCTGCCATATCAAACTTGTAGTTCCATAGAAGAGTACTAACAATGAACTTGAGTTGCATGAAAGACAACGACTTCCCCAAACAATACCTTGGCCCTGCCAAAAAATTAATGAACTTGTATGAGGGGATGTGGATTAAGCTCCCTTGCTCCGAAATCCATCTCTCAGGCTTGAACTCCATGCAATCTTTCCCCCATATCTCTTCCATCCTCCCCATGGAGTATATGGAGAACAAAATCCTAGTACCCTTGTGAATGAGATGGCCGCTAGGGAGCATATCATCTTCAATGGCACATCTTAGCTCGAATGGTGCGGGTGGGTACAATCTCAATGTTTCGCAGATGATTGCATGGAGATATACAAGTCTATTCATCTCATCTTTATCGATCATGAAAACTCCTAATAATCGTCCTTCTCTAGGATCTGGTCGTCGTTTAGCCATTACCACTACTCTTTCAATCTCCTCGATAATCTTTTTCTCAACCCGAGGGTGGATCACAACCAACCAGAGCAACCAAGTTAGAACCGAAGACACAGAGTCTTTCCCTGCCGCTATTAATGTCACTCCAAAGTCCCGTAGAAATTTATCTGAACTTTCTCCTCTTTCATCTGCTACCATCCATTGTGTTAGCAATTCAAGTTGTAGGCGTTTATCTTCTTTGTGAAACTCTTGTTTCTTGATTTTCACGACGTCGTATAAGAACTTATCCAAGACCTTAATACTTGTACTAAATTTCTTCTCCGATCCGATCCCAAATATATATTCTCTGAATTTTCCATACACCTTTTGGAACAATATGTCGGTATACGTTGGCCTCCTCAATGTCGTCATATGCTTTGCCACATGAGAAGGTATCTAAATGTCTGTCAACACAAAGGTAACCTGAAAGAGGTATAAATTGATTGTGAGCCGACTCTAATACTTCAAAAGGATTGAAAATTTTATTGAAGGTTTAAAGCCACCGCATCTTTTTAAAGGACACAGTCGCAACCTAAACTTGCCAAACGGTCGCGCGCTAAGGTTGAAGATTTTCCTTCATTGGGGCTTGGAATCTCAATGAATCCAAATTAATCCACAAAGCAATTTTTAGTCAAGCTGATTAACTCCTTAAACTTAATCATGTTCCAAATCCTAATACTTTATTTAATTACCTGGATCGAATCCCAAGACCCACATGCAGACATAGTCAAACATGAACCTGCTCACCACGTCTTGCATGTCCACCTCACCCCTAACTCCCGGGGCCGGAAGCATGCCCACCACCGGCCATTGGACGGCGGAAGCGCTTTTGTTTTTGGCTAAAAATGCTATCGAGCGCCACAAGAATATGAGGGAGAAGAAAGCTAGTAGCAAAATAGCAACAATCCACATTCTTCTGTATGTGACTTATTACTTGATATTGATTTCCTATCAGTTATCAGTACTAGCTATATGGCTTGGGAGATACCAAAAGACTAAAACAACGAAACGATCAGACTCGTGGTGCTATTCCAACTAACAAAATTTAGGTGGCTCTTGATAAGAAAACCAAAAAAGCAAAATTTATTATGAATTATTTAACAACTGCTCAACTGATTGAAATAAATGGTGATAGAGAAGTAGTGGTAGCTAGTTCAAAGACCACAATATTGTAGGAAGAAACTAAACATCTCTCTTGTAGACTCTCATCTTCAAGCCATCTTTCATCGACAATACAATAGAAGGTGTTGGTTTCACGATGTGGCCCTCTACCATATCAAGCTTGTAGTTCCACAAAATGGCACTAACAATGAACTTGAGTTGCATGAAAGACATCGCCTTCCCCAAACAAGTCTTTGGTCCTGTCAAAAAAGCCATAAACTTCTGCGACGGAACATGGATTATGTTCCCTTCTTCTGAAATCCATCTCTCAGGTTTGAACTCCATGCAATCTTTTCCCCATATCTCTTCCATCCTCCCCATGGAGTATATGGAGAACAACATCCTCATGCCCTTCTTAACTCTATGACCAGTAGGGAGCACATCAGCTTCATCGGCGCATCTATGCTCGAATGGAACTGGTGGATACAACCGCAACGTCTCGCAGATTGTCGCATGAAGGTACACTAGCCCATTTAACTCATCTTTGCTTATCAAAAACCTGTATGTCCCTTTATCACTTTCCTGCCGCCCAGCCATGGCTGTTTCTCGTTCGATCTCCTCGAGAATCTTTTTCTCAACGTCAGGGTGGGTCGCAACCAACCAGAGCAGCCAACTGAGAGTGGAAGATAGGGTGTCTTTTCCAGCTGCTATTAATGTAAACACCATATCTCGTAAGGACTTGTCTGAACTTTCTCCTTTCTGACCAGCTATCATCAATTGTGTTAGCATGTCGAGTTGTTGTCCCTGCTCCTCTTTTTGCATCTCTTGTTTCTTGATCCTGATAGCATTGTATATGAATTCATCCAACACCTTCGTACTATGACTAATCTTCTTCTCCGAACCAATCCCGAACCTTTTCTGGAACTCCCATACACCTCTGGGCACTATATGTCGGTATATGACTGCCTCAAAGATTTCTTCGAATGCTTTGTCGTACGGGAATGTTTCTGAACGTCCGTCCACAGAAAGGTAACCTGCGATATGATGGAGGATCAATATTATCTGAACGAAGACCCGATATATATACTTAGATTATAGACTCAAGTATATATACTTAGATTAACCTGGATCAAACCCCAAAACCCACAGGCAGATGTTATCGAACATGAACATCTTTGCCACCTCCTGCATGTCCACCTCGGCTCCGGCTCTCGCATCGAGAACTGGGAACAAGGTGGTCTCCATCTTCAGCTTGAGGGTTGTGGTCATGTGGTTCTGCAATTCCTCGTTGTTGAGGATGGAATGGAGCAACTGCCGCTGGAACTTCCAGGCCTCGCCATCAACGTTGAAGATGCCTTCTCCGAGGAACTCGAATATGGCCTTGAAGTCTTGGCCTTTCCTGTACTTGGCGTAGCTCTTGCTGAAGATGTGGTGGGCGTTGAGCGGATCGCTGGAGGCGATGAAGTCCATGTTGGCGAACCACGGGCCTTTGAACACGAACGTGCCGCCGGTTTCCTTGAGGGTTCTGTCGGCTGCGCCATGGAGATTATCGGTCCACGCGTTCCAAAGGAGGCCCGGAAGCACACCCAGCACCGGCCATTCGATTAAGGAGAAGTTTGTGTTCCTAATACTACTAATTATGGAAGTAAGCCGCCATGGGAGTGCCAAGGAGAGGAGGGTTAGGAGCAAAATGGCAAGTAGTGGTATGATGGCCATTTGATTTGATGATTTTGGGTTTGATTGATTGGTATGAATATAATAGTCCTTTGCATATATGGGACGATATTTATATATAGCGGTCATATATACAACATCGTCTTCTCGATCTCCATCATCAGCTTTCAAGGCACAGTGATGGCTCCACATTTTAATGATAACCACCCAACGGACCACGAAATTAATGACAACCACATTCATGTGTACACAGCATACCCTCAGCTTAATGGTTTCCAAACCTTTCTTCTTCTTCTTTGGCATATGAAAGATGATTAAATTTTAGAATAATTAGTACAAAGAGAGGGACCAAGTGCTTTAAAAATATATATTTATTTCCAACTTTCTAGATATAAGAATCTTTAAATTCATCTTATGATAGATGTTTATCTTCTACTTTATGAATTATGAATAACTATACTCCAATTATATTTTAGCGGATTGTATCTATTTTTAACTCAAATTTCAAAAAAAAAATTGACAAAAATACAATGCAAATACAATATTCACTTTGATATATTAAAAAAAAAATACTGGTATGCATAACTTAATTTCTGGGATGGAAAGGAGCGCTAGGAGTCGCTTAGGCGTTTAAGGATGTGAGAAGCATTAGGTAAGCATGGTTTAGGAAGGGTGAGGGGTGAAGTTGAAACTCAAACAAAAAGGACCCTAAACAACAGAATATACCAATTCTTTCTTCGCCCTCTCAGTCTACGGGGGTTTTTTTTTTACAACATCAATCATCATTTCATTTCAAACCCACACAAGTGGGAAGCAATACAATTACAATAATGGAGCGACAAGACACTACAAAAAAGAAGAGGTTTGGGGACGATAAGAGTTGTCCCCGGAAATAGGAAAAATCGTCCCCATAAGTTTAGGGGACGACTAAGTTGTCCCCAACGTGTGGTTCCCTATACTCTTGTCCTCTATTTTTTTGGGGACGATAAAAATTAGGTCGTCCCCTTTGCTAGGGACGACAGTCGTCCCCGATACATGTGAGTTGTTGTCTTGTTTCCTTTCCATGAAAGACAATATGTCGTCCCTATAGGTTTGACTTCGGCGACAATAAATTGTCCCCTAAACATTATTTCTAGAGACAAAATTGTGTCTCGTGTAATCCATTTCTTGACCATTGTGGCTTTTTGGGATGATTTGATGTCCCATTTTTTTCTGTACAGGGTCGACATGTCATTGGCATGGGTGTCTAATTGAAGTCAATATATCTTTAGGGATGAACAATTGTCCTTAATTTTTGTCTTGGGAGAAAGAGTTGTCATCTAACGAGTTTTTTTATTATACTATTTTGTTTTATCACAAATAGCATTAGTTTTGGAGAAAAGAACTATATATATATATATATATATATATATATCAAGAATTGCAATTAAAGTACATCAACAATTAGCCAACATTCATTTGAAGATAAAACTAAAGAATAAAATATCAATAGTGAAAATGAGTAACTGCTAACTATTAAATAAAGAAAATTACTACGAGACCATGAAATAAAATAACAATTCCATCAATCCGAAAATGCCTTCAAGGATTCTTGATTTGGACTTGATTGCATCTGTAATGGCAGCAAAACAAAGAAAATCATTCATCTCAATCAGGAAATAATTAGTTCATAAAATAAAAACAAAAGAAAACCAAAGAGAAAAGGAACAGTACTCACCTACGTCTCACCCTCCTGAGTGCACTTTCACTGCCTGAAACATTGTATCCTTACCGTCAAAGGAGTATGCATTCCACATGGAATACTCATCAGTACCCTCGAGTTACAAAGATGTTGTCTCCCTTGAATGCCACCGACTTTGTACAATCGCTCAGCCACTTCCCCTTCGTCGGAAGCTGGTTGTACCCCACAAAGCAATCGGCCAGAAGCAGCGCACCCAATGGCCAATGTTGCTATGCATCTCTGTGCTCCTGAATTGAGAGATCGTAGAATGAATATGTATGCAGCGGCGGCAAAAAACCCTAAGGGGAAGAGAAGAATGAAATAGGAGTCTCGGATTGAAGATGATAATTAAGGAATATAAATACACATACCGCAATAACATATATGAGTAAATTAAGATGTATGGCGATTGGCGGATCCATAATTTATTTCCTTTAATTTTTTGAGCAGGATAGAGAAAGTTTTGAGAAACAAAAAGCCAAGTCAAAATCTTTAAGGTGGATACGGAAAAACTAAGTTTTGAGAAAAGAATGGAGAAAGTTTAGCTAACAAAAAGATAAATCACCGAAACTTGATTTGGGGACAGAAGAATCCGCCAAAAAAAATATTTCCACCCAATTTCAACCAAGTTTTATATTTTTTCCCGGACGTTAATTTTTGGGGACAACTTACCAAAATCGAAAAATTAATGAATTTTCATTCCTTATTTTAAGGGGACAATTTGTACACTTGGTCCCTAATAGTACTTAAACTTTTATTTCCAAAGACAACATATATTAGTTGTCCCCAACACTAGTCCCCATACCTTCTATTTTTTGTAGTGAGATCAGCAATGACAATCCATTCAGGAGGAAGAAGATCAAAACGAGCGTTTCTCGCAATCCTATCCTCCAAGGCATTGAATCGACGGGGAACAAACTCAACCACGATCCACGGAGAGACACAGAGAATGGAAACAACCCGCGCAAGAGTTGCCCGGCATTGCCAAGGCCAAAGGCTCGGATCCTGTTTCAACGCAATCGTCAATCTCTGACAATCCGATCGGACACACGTTGGGACTGGATCCAGGACTGCCATGATAACTGCAATAAGAATTGCAACAGCTTCCGCTTGAATCGGAGAAGAACAAAAGAATCTCTCAGCTTTCCCGTCGATAACCTGCCTGTGGGAATTAGCAATAGCAATCCCATATGCCGCCACCTGTGCATCAGAAACAAAGGAACCATCACAATGCACAACCTTACTGAAAGGACCAGGCGGTGATAAGGTCGTCGACCGAGAACTCCCAGACTGAGAAGGCAAACCGACTGATCTGGAAGAAGGGGAAACCGTGCCTGAAGTCCACGCTTCCTTAACCCTTTGAAAATCTCTATCAGCTAGAATTGCCACAGTAGGCGGGGAGAACACCTTTTCTTCAAAGACCATTCCATTACGAGCAATCCAGACATTCCACATTGTACCCACAATCTTGTTAATCTACGGTTGCAGAGATAGAAGTTTACTTTTATATGATATAAATATATATTTATTATGAATGCTAAAGTATAGTTAATAAATAAATTCGCCATTATCAAAAAAATGAATGTTAAAGTATATAGTTAATAAATAAATATTCAAGTAATTCATTAATGAAAACGAACTAACTTGTTGATTAATACAACTTACAATTTGTATAAACAATGTGACGTATTTTCATATTCCCTCTCAGTCTTCTCACGTGCCTGTACCGACAAGGACATGTCCTAATTAAGCTCTTCGACGACCAACCAAATTTACGGTGCAGGTATTCGTGAAAAACGTTGAAAGCTAGCATTGCATGACGAATCTACGATATGAGCTCACCGACGAAATTGATGGTGATGATCACCCTAGGCCCTAGGGCAATGGAATTAATTATATAGATTGATTTTGTGGCCGATCGTCCACGTCCAGCAAATATCTGGATCATATTTTATTGGGCAAGTAATGTCTGTTTTACTTTTATTTTGTTAATACATTAATATATGTACCTGTTTTTCAAACATTATTATATGAACCTGATTTTAATTATTAATCTCTGATTGCTGTACTATTTGACAACTCATATACTTTATGCTTTATGAGGAAAATGAAGTTAGACAAAGATAGTTACTTGTACACGTTTTTCAAATATTAGTATATTACTCTCTTTTTTTTCCATTAGCCTCTCTCGTTATATGTGGGCTCTTTTGTGGTGCTAGATGTTAATTTGATATGGTAGAGGGTCATGTTATTGTTAAGCTATCACCTAACTACCACGACATATTGTCAATGAAAGATGGGTAAATTAGGATTCTCGGTTGGTTGTTTTATATTATCAAAACAATGAGCAAACAATACTAGTGTATGTGATGACATATATATGACGGTAGACCATTTTTAACGATTCGGTTTGGTCTATAATTTTTCAAATGGTTTGGTCTATTTTCCTAGCCTATATTAAACAGCAAACCATAGCATCCCTTAAAGCAAGTAACTTAGTGAAAAAGGGATCAATAATAAAGAATCTATGTATATTGCATCCACGAAATTCTGAACAACACTTTAGATGTTGATTTTGTGATCTAATCCTAAAATATTGAATCGTTAGTATCTACTCATATCACATAATAACGTGTATTTGTTGTATACGACAATAATAATATATTATAATGTTATTTTGAAAGAAATCCAACTCATACGAATATTTATTACATACCACAATTGTTAGGAAGAATATACTAAACATCTCTCTTGAAAACTTTCATCTTCAAGCCGTTTTCCATTGGCAACATAATAGAAGCAAGTGGCTTCACAAGTTGACCCTCTACCATATCAAACTTGTAGTTCCATAGAAGACTACTAACCATGAACTTGAGTTGCATAAAAGACAACATCTTCCCCAAGCACGACCTTGGCCCTGTCAAAAAATTCATAAACTTGTACGACGGAACGTGAATTATACCCCCTTGTTTAGAAATCCATCTTTGAGGCTTGAACTCCAAGCAATCTTTTCCCCATATCTCTTCCATCCTCCCCATGGCGTATAAGGAGAACAAAACTCTAGTCCCCTTATGAATGCGATGGTTGCTAGGTAGCACATCATCTTCAATAGCACATCTAAGCTCGAATGGCGCGGGTGGGTACAACCTCAATGTTTCGCAAATTGTTGCATGGAGATACACAAGCCTTTTCATATCGTCGTTACTAATAAGCAAAACACCTAATCCTTCTCCAGGAGTTGGTCCTCTTGTAGCCATTGTCACTACTCGCTCAATCTCCTCGAGAATCTTTCTCTCAACCTCGGGATGGGTTGCAACTAACCAAAGCAACCAAGTTAGAGCGGAAGACACGGTGTCTCTCCCAGCTACAACTAATGTCACTCCAATGTCTCTTAGGAATTTATCCGAACTTTCTCCTTTCTCGTCCGCTACCAACCATTGTGTTAGCAAGTCAAGTTGTTGATGTTGCTCTTCTTTGTGCAACTCTTGTTTCTTGGTCTTCACGACATCATATAAGAACTCGTCCAAGACCTTAGTACTTTGACTAATCTTCTTCTCTGATCCAATCCCAAACCTTTTCTGAAATTCCCATATACTTCTGGGGACGATATGTCGGTATATGACCGCCTCCTCGATTTCATCAAATGCTTTGCCGCATGAGAAGGTACTTAATTGCCTGTCAACACAAAGGTAACCTAGAATAGGAATAAATTTGATTAGGATTATTGTGCTGCATGCATATTTTAATTTCTTGCCTTAATGAATACATTTTAGTTGTAAAAAGTAAACAAATTTCTCTGATAAGAAAACCAAGAACGTAACTACGTACACCCTAATAAATACTTGTATTTATAAACTCTAGTCAAGTGTAAATTAAACCGTTATTATACATGCATCACCTGGATCGAATCCCAAGACCCACATGCATATGTTGTCGAACATGAACCTGCTCACCACGTCCTGCATGTCCACCTCAACATGTACAGTTCCAAGCCGTCGCGTCGAACAAGCATCATCAAGGACTCGGAACAAGGTGCCCTCCATCTTCTGATGAAGGGTTCTCATAACGTAGTTTTCGAACCCGTCCTTGGTCAAGAAGGAGTGGATCCTCTGCCGTTGAAACCTCCACGATTCCCCATCGGAGTTGACGATCCCTTCTCCGAAGAGCTCCTCGAACATCGCTTTGAAATCCTCACCCTTCCCATAGTTGGCAAAGTTCTTGCTGAAGACGTGGTGGGCATTCATCGGATCGCTGGTGACGACGAAGTCCAGGTTGGCGAAGCAGGGGCCTTTGAACAGGAAGGTGCCGCCGCTTTCTTTGACGAGTCGAGTGATGAAGCCGTGGAGATTGGTGGTTGCGTTACAGAGGAGGGCCGGAAGCATGCCCACCACCGGCCATTCAACGGCGGAAGAGGAAGAGCTTTTCTTCTTGGCTATAAATGCTACTATGGAGAGCCAAAGAGATACGAAGAAGAGAAAAGCTAGTAGTAAAATGGTTATCATGATCGGCATATATTCTTCTGGGGCTCTATTGATACTGATTTATATGTGATGAGTAGCTATATATTTGGCCTGGGAGACAACTTATTTATACTAGCTAGCTAGAAGAGCCAAAGCAGCACCGCTTGCCTTTATTGTATTCTTGGCTTGAGAATTATGTACGAGATGGGGAAACTAGCCAAACTTCGTTTCTTGTTATGCAAATTAATTAAAGAATGATATGTTCGAATTTATTCACAAAGTGCTCGGGCCTTCTGCAACACATTATATTATTAGAGATAGCAATTTCGGACTTAACTCATTTTAATTAGTAGATTTATTTTACTTGTTTTGTGTGGGTAATACCCATCATCACATAAGGAACGGACATGATTACTCTCCTCTATCTAACCTGCCCCAACGCAACACATTCATTCTCAGCTTATTTTTGTCCAAATTACATGTAATTTTGTTTAAATTACTTAGTGATTTTAATATTATTCTCTTATATTTTTAACGACAATAAAGTTACAAATATGTGAGAACCTCAACTTCTCATATAATTGAACTACATTTATCATATTATAGTTTTTTCTCTTGATTTTTATAATGCAAAAAAACAATATTCTTAGTGTTTCTCCTTTGAATTTCATATCCATATGGATTGATATGTCCAGACCTACTCAAACCCGTACTTCATGATAATTATTCGAAATGTCACGGAGCGAATATGTGTATTGAGATATATGTAATGGTTTCTCTACCTTTCTTCTTCTTCTTTAGCATAAGAGGAAAAAAGTACACAGAGAGATCGAGGGACCAAGCTCCGTTAGTCAGTCTATACGAATAATTTGGTTGCAAGTCTTCATACTCCATCGAAATGGTCCGCCCTTTCTTGCTTCGAAGTACTACTTAATTATATATAGTTATTACCCAGCTAAATAGATCGATTGCACATTGGCTCACCGAATTTATTTATAAATAAATAGCTTGCAATTTTTTTTGTCTTACTTGTCAATGTGCTAACCCTTATAGGAGTTAGCACCGTGATAATTAGCAAAAAACGCTACTAAAAACAACGAAATCACTACGGATTATTATAAAATCAATACAACATCTAAGCTAAATCACTACTAACCCTTGGTTAGAACGGTGCTAACTCTTATACAATTAGCACCGTAACTCCTCCCAATCCCACTTTAATTACATTTGGTACATGGTACATAAATGTACAAATGTCTTTATAGTAACTTGCACATTTAACTTTTGGTACAAATTTTAACTTTTATTGGAACCACCAATGTGTAATTTAGAAGAGAGAAGAATGGCCCAATGGTGAAAGCTAGCATTGCATGGTGACTCTACGATCTCACCACCAGAGGCAACCGACGAAATGGATGGTGATGATAACCGGGCCGGCCAATGGAATTATGTAGTTCTATAGATAGATTGTGTGGTCAATTGTACTCCAGCTCAACCAATCCAACAAGCACGCGTCACTCATCCAACGAATTACTAAATCATATTTGCTGGGGTCGTTATAGAAGTGTCCTTTTATATGATAAAAATGGGGAATTTTTGGTGAAATCTAGAGTACAGCATACTTTGAGTATGAAAATGTTATCTAGACCTCGAATTAGCAGAATTATTGGACCTGATACTATACTCCAACCCTTAAAGATCAAAATCTAGGTATTAGTTCTCTAAATCTTATACTCCAAGATCAATTTAATTAGAATAATAATGGACGGTTATGATTCCTCCAAATAAAGGCAAAAATGAATGCACCATCTTAGGATTTATAGTTTATGATTTAGATAATTAGGAACTAGGGTTTACTCATTAAAAGTTAGGGTATAGTATCAGGTCCAAAAATTCTGCTAATTCGAGGTCTAGATAACATTTTTATACTCAAGGTATGCGGTACCCTGGATTTAACCCAGGGTACCGTAGAAGGCACCGATAAAAATATATTTATTATAAATATTTAAATTATATAATTCAAAGATAAATATTCGAGTAATTCATTCAAAAAAAACAACCGATTCATTAATACAAGTTACATTTTGTATAACAATCATAAGGCATTTTCAAATCCAAAAGAATTGTAAAAATCATTGTCTTTACTCTTAAATAAGTATGTTTCAATATATGCCCCTATGTTTAATTATTTTATTGTCCATAAATTTCTCATATTGGTATAAAAATTCAGTGTTGGAATATCATACTTATACTTGGGCTTAATTGCAAGTTTGGTCACTCGAATTGCTATAAAATTTCACGTTTGCCACTCGAATTAATTTATTCCATTTATAGTCACTCGAATTAGTTGAACAGTCCAAGTTCGGTCACTCTCCGTTAACCTCCGTTAGACTCCGTTAATGATGACCGTTAAGTGATGACGTGGCTAACAGAAAATCACAGTCAGCATAATTTAACACTAAAAAACGACGACCCGCCACGTCATATTTACCCGCCATATCAGCCCTTCTTGCCCAACCCGCGAACCAACCCAATTAATTGACCCAAACCCAAACCCGAGACCAACCCCCCCCCAAAAAAAAAAAAAATCACCGTCGACGAGAAAACAATCACCGCGATTATCCCCACCACTGCAGCATTCGACATCCCCTTCTTCCCTCCTGATCTCAAGCACACCTCCATGGCCCGACCACACAACCCCTCCGGTGAGTTCCCCTGAAACGAACTAACGGGGAAACCGGAGAACGATGGAGAAACTGGTCACATCGGGTTCGATCCCTCTCTGGCGCATTTCGTCGAACACCTGCTCGGCCAAAACAATCGTCTTCTCAAACTTATGCTCCGGCTGCAATCTAGCTCTCCTGCATATCCCATCTAACAAGACGTTGTAAGTAACGACATTGGGCTCGATTCCCTTCTCATCCATCTCTCTCAAAAACCTCTCCGCCATGTCCAATCTCCCCAGCTTGCACCATCTGCAGATCAGAACAGTGTACATCCTGACATTGGGAACGAAGCTGAATTTCCTCTTGTTGAAAACCTCGACAGCCACTTTCTCATGCCCGTACTTGCAGAGAGTGTCGAATCCACCGACCCAATGAACCCTTGCATATCGTCGAACACGCGAATCGCTTGGCGGGTGAATCCGGCGGCGATCAGTCGCCGAATGAGGACGGAGAAAGTGGTGAAATTGGGCTGGGAATCTGAATCCTCGTCGTTTTTCTGCCCCATCTGGATGATTAGCTGCCAACAAACGTCGAATTGGTGAACCTTCGCGAGGATATCGATCATGAGGTTGTAAGCGGCGGAGGTGGCCGGAGAAGAAGGGAGGGAGAGAGAGTAGTGGAAGAGGGATAGGGCGATCTTGGAGCTGTGGCGGAGACGGATTAGGGTCTGGTGGAGGAGGGAAGGCGTGAGCGAGATTCCGTTGAGCTGGAGGCAGGATTCCATGGCGTGGAAAGGGTTGTGGTGGTGGAGGAGCATATGCGAGAGCAGTTCGGCGTCGGCGGATGGTTCGAGTGTGGGGAGCTCGGAGGTGACTACGGATGCGGAGAAGTTGCGACGGCGGAGGAGGAAGGTAGTGGTGGCGAGGGCTCGATCTCTGTTTATTTTTCAGGGGGTTGTGTCTCGGGTTTGGGTTTGGGTCAATTAATTGGGTTGGTTCGCAGGTTGGGCAAGAAGGGTTGACATGGCGGGTAAATATGACGTGGCGGGTCGGGTCGTCATTTTTTAGTGTTAAATTATGCTGACTGTGATTTTCCGTTAGCCACGTCATCACTTAACGGTCGTCATTAACGGAGTCTAACGGAAGTTAACAGAGAGTGACCGAACTTGGACTATTCAACTAATTCGAGTAACTGTAAATGGAATAAATTAATTCGAGTGACAAACATGAAATTTTATAGCAATTCGAGTGACCAAACTTGCAATTAAGCCCTTATACTTGTTTAGGATTGATATATTCTCCCCAAAATTCTAATAGTGTCCGATCCGTAACAGTCTTAGTATGTGGCTGACTCCATCAATGTACTGCCAAGTGCCAACTGGTGTGACAAGGGACAATTCCCTCTATTTTAACATGATTTAAAACGAGCAGACAGTCCTCTGACATGCCTGTACCGATAAGGACATGTCCTAATTAACCTCTCCGGGGACCAACAAAATTTATTCGTGAAAAACGTTGAAAGCATTGCATGACAGCATGAGCATGACGAATCTACCAAATCATGTAAATGAGCCGAATCGAGTTTTACCCCAGTTTGAGCTCGGCTCGAGCTCGACTCGTTTATTAACGAGTCGAGTTCGAGCTAGCTTGTTTATTAAAATCTTGACATTTATTTGGTACTTCATTTTGTATATCATGATATATATGATTTATTTTGTTAGCTAATCTCATATTATACTTTGTTGGTATCATATATCATTTAGTTAATAAATTTTAACTACTCCAAATCATGTTATTTCATAGTATCGAAGCCATCTATGATGCATTATTTCTTTTTAAAGTAGAAACTAAGATATATTAGCTAATCTCATATTATACTTTGTTGGTATCATATATCATTTAGTTAATAAATTTTAACTACTCCAAATCATGTTATTTCATAGTATCGAAGCCATCTATGATGCATTATTTCTTTTTAATGTAGAAACTAAGATATATTTGCTCGCATACTCAACGTGTTAAACTTTATATATGGTGAGATATATAATTTAACAACCATATGAATTAAAATCATACGATATAGATTGATTCGTCCATAAGTTGGTAATCAAGTTGGCTCTCTAGCCACATGTTAAGACATATCATGAGCTCTAAACGAGCCAGCTCACGAGTTTAGCTCAACAAGCCATCGAGTCGAGCTAGCTCGCGAGCTTCACGAGTTGAACAAAGATGAGCTTGTGTTCGGCTCGTTTATTAACGAGCCAAGTTTCGAACGAGCTTTTCTCGAGTCGAATGTCGAGCCGCTCGTGAGCAGTTCGGCTCATTTGCAGCCCTAATTATGTCTACATAATTTTATTGCTACAATAATATGATCATCTTTTTTTAATTCATGCAAGTAAT